ATTTTAGTGCATTTTTAGTTATTTTAAGTTAAACTGAAAATGAGAAATGTTGCCTTTTTGTTTTGTTTTTTTTTTTATTTCAGTTCATGTTATCAAGTATCTTATTTCAAGTACTGAAAAATGTTTTAATGCTTTTAATTTTAGTTTCAGTTAACTATAATAACCCTGATACAGTTAAGCTGTACGATAGTTTTGTATCATTGAAATATTTGTATGGTTTTTAGTAATATTTTGAATCAGGTTTTATTTTTATATTTTCTGTTAACATTTTCATTTAACTTAAAGTTTTAGTAGTAATATATATGTAATACATTTTTAATATTTGTTATTTAGTACATCAAGTTAAACTAAATGAAAATGATAAATGTTGCCTTGAAAACTGAAATATTTTATTTTAGTTAACCTTTATTTTATTCCAAGTAAACACAAATGTTATCAATGCTTTTAGTTTTAGTTAACTATAATAACCCTGATATATATATACCACAATAAAATACTTTATCATGAATAAAATGATTTTTCATGTCCAAAATTAAAACCAGACTTTAAGATGCAACAAAGTCACATTTCCGATCTCGTTTGTTTCTGTGAGATTAATTGGAGTACAAACTGAGACTCCTGATTGTTTCCTAAGAAGAAGACCTCAGTAATCTCAACAATGTCTGAACGACAGCGAGAAACATCGGAGACTTCAGGAGAGATGTCCAGCCTCTGAGAAATAAACCGTTCCTCTGGGAATCACTGAAAGTGTGTTTGTGTAAACTAGACCGGTTTAACAGATGCTCACGGCCCTGAGGACAAACTCAATGATTCGGTGTGTAATTTCATTCATTATAAGCGGCGCTCACACTCACAGAGCCGGGTTTGTGTTCAGCTCTCGAGCACACATCCAAACCATGCAACAGATGTTCAGAGACAGATTACACGCTTCACCACTGAGTTTAGAAGACTTTATTAAACCTCTAGACAAAATATTGTGTTTTCTTGAGTCTGTTGAGCTAGCCCATCAGGCGTTTATGGCTCATATAGTCTGATATAGGAGAAAAAAACAGCTTTATTTCATTTAGAGACTCAAAAATATGCAATTTGCTGCAGATGCTGATATTTATAAGATGAAATTCTGATGCTTGTGATGTAAATCAATGAGATCCTTATAATAGTATACAACATAAAATGAAATATCAGTCATCACTCTATATCTGCAGTAACATGTCTCAGTGAGATGAGATTGAAATGCTCCAAACATATAATGCAGTGATTGAGAGCTGAAGAAATAAAGGCTTCTCAGAAGATGTGAGATGTTCTGGAGGCTTGTGAAGATCATTCCTCCGCTGAGGAACAGTGAAAGTAAAGCTTCTGGAAACAAACGCTCCTCAAAAGATCCTGAGGATCAGATTTGAGACTCTAAAACATGATTGATGGAGAATCAAGTAAAGCTGAGCTGCTTCAGTCCAGTAAGTGTTCATCTGGAGATATTACTGCAGTTATTCTGATGCTTACTTGATCAAAATCAGTCAAGATTTGACACGTGACGCTCCAGCTGAAGCTGGACGTTAGTACAATTGACCTTTTATTTGATAAAAAACTAGAAGACGTGGAGTAGATTGTGAGCGACAGGAAAGTTTGATCATTAAGAGGCCTTAGAAATGTGTAATAAATACACTACAGTAGGCTTAATGACTTGAGAAATAGTGATAGCACTATGACTGAAGCTCTAAAACACCCAGAATTCCCCATTCTTCCGCAGACGCAGCAGAATCAGCTCTTCTTCCGCAGGTTTGCTGCGGTGTTTGAGTGTAAACAGAGTCTGTCACCTGTAAAACACACGATCCGCTCCTGCAAACCAGCCCTGCGCTCGTGTTTGTACTGGCTGAGACGAGCCGTCAGAGCAATGCATGCTGGGAAGACACTGTTTTCTCTGTTGCTATTCTGAGTATAATGACTGGCTCCTGGCCACACCTCGCCGAGACTTGCGCTACAGAACCCGACCTAAGAGGCTTGAATCAGACTTATTATAGTTAACTTAACTACACCTGAAAGTAAAATTTAAACTATAAAAAACACTTAAAATATACATAAATAAATACATGTATTTAAATAAATATTTTTAAATTCAAAATGCATAAAATAATACATTTGTTGTACTAAAATAACAACAACTAAAACTGAAATAAAATGTATAAAAAATATATATATACTGTATATATGATACATTGCAATAAAAGTTATTTGTCATTTTGTCATTTTTTCATAATTTCATAAATAACTGCTATATTTTATACTTCATATATTTAAAAAACACTATTTACATAGAAAATAAAACATCTACCAGTACTAAAACTGCAAAACAGAGGTTCTTCCTCAGTATTTTTGTCTTGTTTTCCAGTATAAATATCTAAACATCCTTAAATCAAGACACATTTAGTTTGGAAGCAAAATGACTTAAAAATGTATCAGAATGAAGTGAGTTTAAGCTTAATGCAAGAACAAATATCCGCAAAAGGAGTCAAAAAAATAAACTTAGATTTAGAGGGAAAATACATTTATTTTTCTAAAAACACGTGT